TTCTACACGACATCAGAAGAGAACACCTACACCAGACAACCACTACAGCCACAGTGCTCTGGAAGGTATGTCGATGAGTCTCGAGCGAGCAGCGTCAGGGAGAATTATTGATAAATTATAATAGAAATGTAACTTTTTTGCAGTTCATGAGCTCTGTATTGAGCTAGTGACGTCTGACAGTGTATAGTAAAAGAAACTATTTCTACTTTAAATCTTTTGTTTCGAAACAGTATGAATTTCAGGGAGTTGCGCTCCGCCCGTGCCATGGAGTTCACCATCCAAGAGATCAACAACAGAACAGATCTCCTACCGGGAATCACGTTAGGATACCGGATACACGACTCGTGCGCTGCAGTGCCGATGACTGTTAAAGCTGTATTTCAATTTATTAACGGCATGGAACCATTTTTCAATGATACTGATTCCTGTTCAAAATCTGCAGCCGCCGCTGTTCCTGCTCTCGTGGGAGAGACTTCTTCTACACCCTCGATTAGCATGACTAGAATGCTGGGTCTTTTTGGAATTCCACAGGTGATTATAGGCTGCACCAAATGGTTTGGGTTTGTGTTGAGTAACCATTTCAGAACAACATTAAATTCCGTCAATCATCATTCGAACAAAATCAATCTCTTCAAATAAAGCTTCTTTTTCCTTTTTGCATATTGAATAACAGGTGAGTCCCTTCGCAACCTGCGCATGTCTGAGCGATAAGCGCCAGTTTCCTGCCTTCTTCAGGACCGTTCCTAGTGACCATCACCAAGCGGCCGCGCTAGCAAAAATAGTCAAGCAATTTGGCTGGACATGGATTGGGGCAGTGCGCAGCGACACAGACTATGGAAATAATGGAATGGCGGCGTTTCTAAAGGCTGCGCAGGAGGAGGGCATCTGTGTGGAGTACTCCGAGTCCTACTACAGAACACAACCGCGCAGTAAACTGGAGAGAGTGGCAAACGTCATCCGCAGATCAACAGCCCGGGTAATAGTAGCGTTTCTTGCCGCAGGCGAAATGAAGTTTCTGTTGCAAGAACTGGCGAGACAGCCGCCGCCTCCCCTTCAGTGGATCGGGAGCGAGACGTGGATTATAGATCCAGAGTTTCTGCGCTTTAACATGTGCGCTGGGGCGATAGGATTTAGTGTTCCCCGCTCAGTGATTCCAGGTCTTCGTGAGTTTCTCCTGGATCTCTCTCCAGAACAAGCACTGAAATCGCCTCTGCTAACGGAGTTTTGGGAGAGCTCGTTCAGCTGTAGCCTGAAAGGCTCCTCAGAGGGCGCGCGGGAATGTAATGGCAGCGAGGATATCCGCGCGCTGCAGAACACATATACAGACACGTCGCAGCTGCGCATCACTAACATGGTGTACAAAGCTACGTATGCCATAGCGCATGCCATCCACGGGGTTGTCTGTAATGACACGCAGTGTGACAAGAGCGCTATATTTACACCATGGCAGGTATAAAAATGCTGCATTTACGAACATCTACTCGCTTGCCTTATTATTTATACGCAAGATAAATACGTACTGAATAATGTATATCAAATAATAGCCTATTTGGGCAATTCTGCCATTTTACAGTACGCTTTGAGTTTAAAGGCAATATATATATATATATATATATATATATATATATATATATATATATTATATATATATATATATATATATATAAATAAAGATATTACTAACCAAAGATTTCTCAGTTAGTTCTGTCTTTCGATATATCGCTAAAAGAGAAAAGATAAAGACCTTAGTATTTTTTTTTTCTTAATAAAACGTCTTGTTTCTTTTCGACCTCTTCCAAATATTCTGGGAAATCTGTCAATCATTTTTTGTATCAAATTATAGATTTGAATTCAATAATGTAATTTACTTTTACAGTTAAAATTGACAAGGAAGTACTGGAATTTTGCGTCCCTTAAATGTAATACTCTAGCGTCTGTGATGCCACGGCTGTGACATCCTAAAATTCATGTACAACATGATTAAAAATCACTAAAGTAAACCTTCTGCACATGCGACTTATCATAGGATGTATCTAGTAAGTTTAGGAACAGAGCAAATGTTAAATCGACACTGTGAGACCCCATCAAAAAATGCATTAGCATCTTTAATAGTTGATTGAAACAGTTAGTAAGAGTTCAGAGTTCAAAATCACAGATCTGTTCACACTTTTTCAAATTATATGTTCCACTGCAGATACTGGACCAGCTCAAGAGAGTGAACTTCACTACAAACAATGGTTTTCAGGTCTGGTTTGATTCCAGTGGTGATCCTGTGGCCGTTTATGAGCTCATAAACTGGCAGGTTAAGAAAGATGGAGGTTTGGACTTTGTGACTGTTGGTCACTATGACTCATCCAGACCAAGAGGCCAGGAGTTCAGTATGAGCAGGGCTATCAGCTGGGTTGGGGGACACACTGAGGTACTCCCTGTATTCTCTGACCACACACTGTAAACCTGGAGAATAACTCAAAATAATCGAGGCAATAAATCGCAAAAATTACACTAAATGTTCCTTGTAAACTTAAAAGTATTCTAAATCTCCATCACAAATTTCTGAATCCTTTTATCAAATCCCTGCAATTAGTTTATGAGCAATAACTTGAAAAAAAAACTTAATAAAGGACATACGATGAAAATTATATAGCTACATTAAGCTGTGTGCTTTGCTGTCAACACTGGACTAATGACAGCACTGGCTAAAGAACACTATAGCATGAAATAATTCTGGGCTTTTCTTATAATAATGATTATAATTGATATCAAAGATGGGTTGTGTTGCTTTGTGTGCTTCTATTTGCATAAAGAAATGCTACAACAGATTGTTTACCTTTATAGCAGCAATAAAGACTGTACTGGTAAAGTATAACTTTATAATTTTCATATGATATCAGATGAACATAGTATCCAAATATGACTTAATTGTCAATTTAACAATAATGCAAATTTCTTTAAAAATAAAATTTCAAAAATGATTCTATAAAATCAAAAATCACCAAATTCAAATAGCAAGAAAATACATTAATCAATACATTCATCTGCTAAACTGACCAAGAAAAACATTAATTTATGAAAAGCAATGTGGCCTTTTGATGAAATATGAATGATTTTCATTTGTCTAATATTTTTCAGGTGCCAAGATCTGTGTGCAGTGAGAGCTGTCCTCCAGGAACCAGGAAGGCTGTGCAGAAAGGAAAGCCAGTCTGCTGCTATGACTGTATACCATGTGCAGAAGGAGAGATCAGCAACAAGACAGGTTGTGTATCATACACAGTTCTGCTAACAGCCTTAATTTACTTTTATTTTTTTCATTCCCTTTTGATTCTTTCTAAAACATGTTTCAAAATATATTTTTCTAATCTCTCAGACTCTTTGAACTGTGTTAATTGCTCTTCTGAGTTCTGGCCCAACACTCAGCAGGACAGCTGTCTCCCCAAGCCTGTTGAGTTCCTGTCCTGGGATGACACTCTGAGCATCATCCTTACAGCATTCTCCATCTCTGGAGCCTTAATAGCTGTATGTGTAGCTGCTGTTTTCTACAAACACAGAACTTCTCCCATCGTCAAAGCAAATAACTCAGAGCTGAGCTTCCTGCTGCTCTTCTCGCTGACTCTGTGTTTCCTCTGCTCACTTATTTTCATTGGTCAGCCCTCTGAGTGGTCCTGTATGCTGCGCCACACAGCGTTTGGGATTACCTTCGTCCTCTGCATCTCCTGTGTTCTGGGGAAAACAATAGTGGTGTTAATGGCCTTCAGAGCTACACTTCCAGGCAGTAATGCCATGAAATGGTTTGGGCCTCCACAGCAGAGACTCAGTGTTCTCACCTTCACTCTCATACAGGTCCTTATTTGTGTTCTTTGGTTGACAACATCTCCTCCTCTCCCCTTCAAAAATCTAAAGCAATACAAGGAAAGGATAATCCTGGAATGTGGATTAGGTTCAGCTATAGGATTCTGGGCTGTGCTGGGTTATATAGGGTTTCTGGCTCTTTTGTGTTTTATTTTGGCTTTTCTAGCACGGAAGCTGCCTGACATCTTTAATGAAGCCAAGTTCATCACATTCAGCATGCTCATATTCTGTGCAGTTTGGATCACCTTTATCCCAGCTTATGTCAGCACCTCTGGAAAGTTCACTGTAGCTGTAGAGATATTTGCTGTTCTGGCTTCAAGCTTTGGTTTGTTTCTTTGTATTTTTGCTCCTAAATGTTT